CGGAGAGATCTTAAAGGAATTTCTGTAGTTTGCGTGCTGCCGGGAGTTACTAAAAAAAAAAAAAAAAAAACAAGTAAATAAAAAATATATATAGGTATATTACCATAAGTAATACTTTTTCGTTTTAGGCATCCCAGGTAAAAAAATTGGGTCGGATTTTATGTTAAACGCCTATATTATGTATACTAGCGCAGCAAACTGTCTTCAATATGTTTCCGGTGATGAATAGCTATTTGATGAATTCTCGAATTTTGGCAAAGCCCCCTGACCTTTTAAATTCTTCCGAATTCTTAGGTAGTTGTCCTAAGTTTTTGCCTAAGGCTGTGTCATAGCTAATATTAAAGGGATGACTTTCCCTGATGCCTAAAACGTGGCTCAAGGAGAACATATGTACACAGGAGCCTATGCCCCCGATGTACATCAGTGGTGGTTAAACTAGCCAGTCACAAAGTGAAGGGACAAAACTTCAAAACTTTGGCTCTCCGACATTTTAAGTTGCAGGTTATTACCTTTTCCACTACCCAACCTTATTAAAAATAAGACACTTTTGGATAGTTTACATCTAGAGTATTTAGTAATTACAGTAACTCTTTTTGGCAAGAACAGGCCACGTTATCCCTGATTAAAACACTTACATGTATGGCCCCAGTTTGTTCAAAAGGTGGTAAGTCACTTTCCGGAAGACGACGCCTTCATGGTTTGCCTGACACTTATCCACTGCATGGATAGTGATTTATCAGGTGGATAGCGCTTTTCCTCAAACCAGTTTTGAACAACTGGCCGAGGCCAGTGGTTTTCTTTCTCGCTTAGCTTTTTTTATTGGTAAAACTGCCCGTTCAATGTAATTTTCGAAACGGGGGGTAAATAACAGCATCAATTCTTTTCTTTGGCTTTTCTTGAAAACAAACATTGGCTTACTCAATTCGCGGGTGATCTAAACTTTTGATTTCTATATTCAAGTTTGAGAGTAATATTTTGAAACTCTGCAAAGTCGTGAAATGTTACAAACGCGGTATGGTGAGGGCTTCCCACCAAACTTTGTCAGGTTATGCATAACATATTATGTTGACTATTTTTAAGGCGCCTTATTCAGCAGTGTAGTTATAAATTTCGGTACAAACTGTTCCTTGTGAAAAGTTTTAAGAAAAAAGTCTCTATTCATTAGATTTCATGGCAACTGTGATGTGAAAGTACTTCAAGATTTTACTGATAGTTATGATTTGATGAAGAATGAAATCCGCGTTACACTGCCCCTATAAGTCTTAAACATGAAAAACACTTTTTATTACTTACTTGTGTGGACAACAATCAGTCCCTCCGTCGGCTTAGAACACTATTTTACACTGTCCCGAAATCTCTTGAGATTTTAATATACGATACTGGACCACGTACTACTATTGAGTACTTGATGATGTTTGCTTTTCAGTACAAAGAAACAGATCATTTTTTATCTGTNTTGAACAACTGGCCGAGGCCAGTGGTTTTCTTTCTCGCTTAGCTTTTTTTATTGGTAAAACTGCCCGTTCAATGTAATTTTCGAAACGGGGGGTAAATAACAGCATCAATTCTTTTCTTTGGCTTTTCTTGAAAACAAACATTGGCTTACTCAATTCGCGGGTGATCTAAACTTTTGATTTCTATATTCAAGTTTGAGAGTAATATTTTGAAACTCTGCAAAGTCGTGAAATGTTACAAACGCGGTATGGTGAGGGCTTCCCACCAAACTTTGTCAGGTTATGCATAACATATTATGTTGACTATTTTTAAGGCGCCTTATTCAGCAGTGTAGTTATAAATTTCGGTACAAACTGTTCCTTGTGAAAAGTTTTAAGAAAAAAGTCTCTATTCATTAGATTTCATGGCAACTGTGATGTGAAAGTACTTCAAGATTTTACTGATAGTTATGATTTGATGAAGAATGAAATCCGCGTTACACTGCCCCTATAAGTCTTAAACATGAAAAACACTTTTTATTACTTACTTGTGTGGACAACAATCAGTCCCTCCGTCGGCTTAGAACACTATTTTACACTGTCCCGAAATCTCTTGAGATTTTAATATACGATACTGGACCACGTACTACTATTGAGTACTTGATGATGTTTGCTTTTCAGTACAAAGAAACAGATCATTTTTTATCTGTCATTCTGAGAAGTGGGCAGCTGTTTAAAGATACAGTACAAATGACGACCCAGAACATAAAACCAAACTCCGGACAGTTAAGCAAATATGATTCTTGTTCCTGACGTCAGATGAAAGAATTCTGTTTTCTTTTAATCTGAATCACCATTATCAGGCATTCAAAGTACAGTTTAACAGTCTCTGTTAGTAGTAAATGATTTGACCTAATCAGATGTTGAGATTCTTTTCTGAGTCATATCCAGTCGATCCTCGTTTAAGTCAACAACTTTTGTTTTTGTTTTTGTTTTTTTTTTGTTGGCAACAACAAGACGGATAACTTCTCCCTGTTCCCGTTTTTTTTTTTACAGTTGTTTCCAAGAATTTTATTAATCTTCACGTAAAATTCAAACTGTCTATTTTATGACTCGCGCATTAGAAGTAAAATGCAAGAGCTCCTCGCAACGATTTGCATTTACTTTAAGTTTTTATCACACTTAGCCCCATCTTGTGGTGGATTGGTGAAAGATCTTCCGATAGGACACGGAATCGCAAACTTTAAACCCGCTTTTAAACAGAAAACAAGCCCGAGTATTAGCTGAATCCCGGAATCCGTGGTGAGAGCAAATCTAGTTTTCGCCATCAAAAATGTCAAGAAGCAAGAAATTACTGGAAATTAAGTTGTGATAAAAAATTGCCTCGTGTATTGAGTACTAGGATACGTTTTTATTGTTGTAGAATTTGATCTAAAACCAGCAATGCTTAGGTCGTTAAGTTCCATTATTGAGGTGCTAATTTCCTCAAGTAACTAAAACGTTTGCTCTAAATCGAGAGAGATAAAAGATAAAAAGCAATTTAATTCCAGCCCTCTGTTCCCTTTTTTCAATTGTATCTCTTTTCTATTATTTTTTCTTTAGCTGCAGAATATTCTTTTTGTAAGTATATTCATAACATTCAATTGTTAACTATAAAATACAGTTACTGAGTAAACAACTTGTCTTTGAACCAAGTTAACATATGCATGTACATGCTATACAATGTTTTCTATTGTTGTTTCTGTCATCAGAGTTTTTCAAAAAATGTTTATACAGAAAATAAATATATATTTTTCAGCGCAGCTGGCTTTGACAAATTTCAAAACTCGCCATAAGAGGAGTCAATAACCAACAAAGGAGGTTTGGAGTAATTGGTACTGAAAGTAACTTAATTTTAACATTTCCCGCCTTTTTTTAGCTCTTAAATATTTTGGACTGTGGTCTGGATTTTAAGCAAATGGAAGGTGAAAGAAACTGAGTGTGACCCGGCCTCAACGAATCTCTCGGCCATTCCAGACTGAAGAAATGGTTTTATTGTTGTTACTTTTTCTCGTTGTTCTTTGCGTTAGACGGTTTTGCAATTATCTTCTGTTAAGATCAGTTCAGGCCAACAACTGCCCTTTTTTGACAAAGAAAAAATAGACATGACGGTTCACATGACGTTGACACTAATGTATTATTAAATGGCAGTGTTTTTCAGAAAGGGTAGCCTTAAATAAAGAAGTGCAACAGAAAAGACTCGAGATAAAATGTACTTGTAAAAGGTAAATAAAGACTTTGGCATGTGAGGGCGGGCAAACAGAGCCAACACGAAATCGAGAATCAGATTGTAATTGCTACTAGGTATATTGCTCCTTGAGTTAGAATAAATCAAGCCCTGACTTGCTTATAAACGTACGCTTTCAAAGTTTCATGAAGTCATGTTATGTGTAAAGGCAGATAGAGCTGAACTTTATCCCCAGAAGCAAAGGATTTTCGTCTTTCTCAAAAATTTGACTGCCAATGTTTCCTCAGGATTGTCGCGAGGGCTTGGCATTCTACGTGCGAGCGAGCGAGCGAGCCGGCGAGGCAAACGCGCGGATTTCTCCCTCGCGCGTTTTCCCCGCTCGCACGAACGTGAAATGCTCGCCCACGCAACACTCGGTTTGTTCTAAAATTTATTCTAAGTCATGGAACGGAGACTAGGAACCTGCAACACAGATAATCCCACCACTTGAGGGAAAGGAAGTTATTAAGAAAAAAGAAAGGAGATTTGAATATTAAAAAATATTATTTTTTTAGTTTTTTTCCTGTTGTCAAAAACAAGAGGATTGCGTTATACCATAATACTTGTGCTAAATGGCAACTTCTACAACGATAACTCTCTCTAGCTGGAGAAAATTCAGTTTAATTAATGACTATCAGGACTTGAGAAGGACTGATGACGATGAGAAGGAGGATGTCTCAGAGGCAGACGTAACTGTGTGCATTACTTTAGTCAATTTTTTGGAGTTCTGCACTCAACACTGAGGAGAAATATTTGACTCGGCTCGTCTTGTTGAACGCCTTTCTCACTAACTAAGCTCAAATCTGATTTTGTGAAACGAATTAAAGAAACGGGAATAATCGTGCTTAGTGATAGGTGATCCTGAAACCACTTACTTTTTCATCTCGTGGTTACCCAGTAAGCGTAATCCGTATTTACCTGGCACCCCCGCCGAGCGCGCCTACGCAAGCACCCATGACTCCGGCACCTTCACTTCTGTGCCTTAATAAAGACACTTACTGATATAACAAAATTAGGATTAGTATTTTAGTAATAAGGCCAAATCAAAGATGTTTTGCGTTTGAGCACAGGGTGCCCACAGAAACTGTGTGAGCGTGACTTCCTTATTCGTAACGTCATCATCATCTTTTAACATCCGGAAATGAAGCTGCATAACCATATATGGTTATAACAACATTCGCAGCCTCTTGTGCCTGGTGCAAAGGAATTAGACCGAAAGTTCTGCGAAGTGCTCTCTCTTTCGAAATAGAGCACTCAAACTGTTTCTGCTAGATTTGCAAGCCGTATGAAGCTCTAACGCAATGAAACCTTTCACCTGTATTTTGTTCAACCTTTTGTGGTCTTGCTGTGCCGCAGATGTCTACTTGCACAATCCTCGAGGAACGAACAATCGTTTAAACGAGAGGTCAGCAGAAAGAAGGAATGCTAACAGGCTGTTTGATTCACAGGTAATCAGTTTATATTCATAGTGTTTTCGCTCTCCTTACGTTTAAAGGACCGTAATCTTGTAAATTATGTTTTTCATGGTTCATCATGTGGACATGAATTATGGAAATACCCGAGGCGATGCTGTTGTTGATCGATCGTTGCTCCGTTTCCAAAACTTCTCGTCAGTGCTAGTTTGGCTGATCAGAGTGCTTTCTGTAAACTTGAATCTTTTGACAGTTTTTGTATCTCATTTCCTAAATTATGTGTCTATTCATGGTCAATTTACCGTCGAAACGAATTATGCATAAATTAAAACAAGCTTTTCAAACTATTTAGGAAGGTTTCACCAAAGTTTTTAACAAAAAAAAAAATTAAATCCTTCATGAACTTTCCAGAGGATACTGCACTCCGCTTAGCATGTTAACAGAAAAAAACAGTGGGCAAACAATGTGTTTTGGCAATTATTGCACTAACATCCAGTAGCTGGTTTTGCTGCCATGTTTCAGTGCTGTTGTTACGCTGCCAAAGCCAGTTAATTTGAATAAATGTTACGTCAAACCAACCCCACCCCACCAAGGTAGGTGGGTTAACCCACCATGAAATGTTTAAATGTCAATTCAAAATGTGACTCTGGTTCAGAGGGTTACCCTTATGATATGGCAGACCAGGTAACCAAGATGCCAGGAAACCTATACATGTGACCAAGATTAAAATGAAAGATTTTGTAAACAGTAGGCTTCCTGGCTTTACCCATGGTCCTCCACCACAGAATTTAATATATGTAAACAGGCCAATCGTGTGCACATTTTTGCAAATTCCCATGACATGTTGCTCTTAAAGTTTGACTTGTTGAATAGTTTAACTGGTACCATATGGGCCTGGCATGGGACACAATGTTGCAGGATGCCATGTACATGTACATTGTACCTTCAAGTAATTATTGTTGTGCAGTTTGTATCTGCTATGGAATCAACAGCGGAGCCGATCAGAGACATGCAACAGCAACAGTTCATTGCATTTGAGCATTAGAGGAGACAATTAACAAATACAATGTACCTACAACAGGTGGGGATCCACACTGGTTTCCACCATTTTATGAAATTCAGTCAGATTTTTAATAAGTAAATATATTTTAATAAAAATAAAACTTTCCAAGTTGAAATCTGGCCAATATCCTTTCTGAATGACTCAGAAACCCAGGGAAGGACTTTGGGCAGTTAAAATCCAGCATGTGGTTTGCCCTGGATCAAACCTCCCTAGAAGCTTGCGCCTTCAATGCTTATTTAAGAAATTGGTCGGTATTCATCCTGGATCCTTGCCTGTGTTTTTTTTGTTGCTGCATTTCCCTGCTAGACATTCCAGTGACTGTTTTCCCTTTCCCCAAGTGGGAAACATAGCAGTTACTCACTGATTTATGATGTAGATATGTTGGTCAGTGTTTGCCCATATTAATTTTATTACATATATATGTATATATATATATGAGGTAAGTTGTTGTCCGCTGGAACTCTTCCAGGGTACGTGGTAATCAACCAAAATTGTTGGAGATTAAAGCAATGTGCTTTAAAATTGTGATAATACATGTCTATCATTATGACTTATTCATGTTAATTGTCATGTCATATCAAGCTCATCAGGGATGTGCTGAGAGAGCCTCATTTGATGTCAGTTAGAGTGAAGCTGCACTTAAATAATTTAAATGTGAAGTTGTTCCTTTAACATAGTCAGTGTTTCAGGCATTATGGATGACCTTTTTATGTTCACTGTTTAGTGTAATGGGTAATCTTAATCACAGTTGCTACAGATCAGGAAATGGTCAGGGAAAAAAATTCTTCAAGGACAGGGAAAAGTAAGGGAATTTCCCTTCAAGTTAGGGAAATTGAATTCTTTGGAAGAAGTCAGGGAGAAGTTATATTTTAAGAGTACATAATATATTCTTTTCCCTCTTCCTTAATTGTTTCTAACATTTAAAAATCTCTTTTACGTTTTACAGACATGAATCATGTTGTATTGGTAGAATATATAATATTATTGTTCATGAAATTGAACAAGTTGTTAATGAACTACATTTGTATCAATTTTTTGCAAACTGCACCTGAATTGCTGAAAGCATAGTAAATGGGTGGATAGAATGGCTTTGAGGGGAGCATTGTCTCCATTGCCGGGACTTATTTTCTTAATTTGTTATATATTCCATTGGTCAGGGAAGTTTCACATTTGTCAGGAAAAGGTCAGGGAAAAGTCAAGGAATTTCATAAACCTCTGGCTGTGGCAACCATATTAAAATTGTACACATGCAAGTGGGACATTGTTGTAGTCAGCCATGTTGAATTTTGTTGAATTTGAGAAAATAAGAAAGATTGGCATCTAGACTCTTCAACATCATATCATCATAATCAACATCATCATCATCATAATCATAACAATCATTATCATCATCATTATCGGTGCCTACAAAATGGATTTACATGTATTACCCAATTATTATTAGTAGTATACCTATTATCTATTTAGATGAGGCTAGTTTGTCTTTATTTTCTCATTCTCTTTCATTTTCTTTTTCAGAATAACAACCGTGGTGGATACAATGTTGGAGACAAAACTGACAAACCAGCCACCACTGCTGCTAATCAATTTAATATGGTACGTACATGTAGTACAGTGTTGCCTATAATATGTAATAATAATCAGGGTTTGCAAATTTTATTGATGAGTGGAGTCACTGTGACTTCTACTTCACAAATTTTGGAGTCATTTTGGAATATTCGGAGTCAAGTATCACAACAAAAAAAGCCATTTTCAGACTTTTCAGCACGTCGTCCTGGCATGTATACACTATCGTGAAGGATACACGAAGTAGCTGTGGCGGTCCACTGACCTGGAAAGCTCAAATCCATGATGGCGGTCATTGAGTAAACTTTGATCGTAATTTACTCTCCTCCTGTTTTGTCGTGCAGCATAATTCTTTAATTTTGATGTTTTAATTAAGGTTTACAACGTTTACAATTAACGTAAATTGTATTTGTTGCGAAAAAGGTAAGGACAAAACTGTCATTGTTACCGAAAATTTCTGGAGTCGAAGTGGCTCCCTGTTTGTTACCGAAAATTTCTGGAGTCGAAGTGACTCCCTCCGTAACCTCTGTGGAGTCATCTGAAGAATTTTGGCGTAAAATACGCCAAATTTGGCGTATTTGCGAACCCTGAATAATTTATTGCTTTATTCTTCATTTAAAAATTTGGTTCTTATTTCCATGCAGCTCCTGCATGTACAATCATTAACTTTGGAAAGGAACGTTTTTGTGGCAATAAATTTCTTGCAAGAATGCAACTCCTTGGCTTTTTTCCATGCTTCAATCATGTAAGCTGTATGTCAAGCATTAAAATAAATCATTAAATAAATAAATAGATAAATAAATAAAAATTAAAACAAACAAACGATAGGAAAGCAATACGTGTACTAGTAACAAGTGGCAATAAATAGGCAGTTTCCCTCAAAAAGATTTGAGGAAAGACTACATACTTTTGATGAGTAGGATAGGAAAAGCAGGACTGTGCATGTAAACATTTGGACTTATATGTGCAAATCAGTTATGTGCATACCAAAAATAATTTTTTGTAATTTAATTTTACAAGACATGTACTTCTGAGTCTGCCTGTGTTGCTGTTGATCTGTTTAGTATGTCCATTATATAAGAGCAAGCATAGCTACGCCCTTCACGTATAAAAAAATTGGATTATACAGTATCCAGGATGGCTTCTTTAACTCTACTGAACCTAAAATACTTTGCAGAAATTTTTTCAAAGTGGATTCACAGGCAAATCATTCCTTACATTCGAGTGGACCAATCAACACGGATCTGGTGGAGATGATGACACGAACCCTCATAAGATGAACAGTAACATTGTTTTACAGTTCAAGTGTCAGTCAGATCCTGGAAAGGTCCAGACTCTTGAAACGTTGCGCAATGGTATAAATACAAACACGCCCAAGTTCACTGCGTCCAAGAAGGCAGATGAGACAGAAAATGAATACAAAGCACGCAAGGCTAAAGATATGGACCAGAATAGAGGCATGCATGAATCTTGGGAGTGGTATGATAAGTGCAGAAGGAGGGAGAGGAATCAGGGTGAGAATCTCGAGCTTAACTCTAGCGGTAGCCTAGGCCACAGGTGGAACTTAACTTCTGGTTAAACCCGTCTACGAGCTGGTGTTGAAATCTTCGTTCTGGGCCCCCAGCTATGTACAATGTTATTGTACCAGGATTAGAGTACGTGCTATGATTGGCCGATTAAAAATACCACTGTCGATTTGCCAATCAGGTTGAAGGGAAATTCGAAAGGCATTTCGGTAACTCGTTGGGTCCGTTGGGTACTATGTACCAGAAGAAGGGTTAGATTACGTTACTCTCCGACGCCTGCTATTCTTGGGGTAGCTTAGGGGAAAATTTATTTATACCACAACATGTGTTCAGTGCTCATGTATCCAGCAATAGGTTATTAGCCTTTTCTATGCTATAAGATAGTAAAAACACCTTCGCCCTATTTTCGCACGACCTTGTTTTCGCGACTTTCCGACCTTCTAATAGCCTGACACAGACTCCCAACTGGTTACCCCGCAAGTAGCCTGCGTAGCAGGCGCTTGGAAGTAACGGCAAAGGAAAGAACGGGGCGCGAGTGAGATACACGCGTGTTTCCCTCGCGCGCCTCGTTCTTTCTTGCGCCCATTACTTCCAAGCGCCTGCTACGCAGGCTACCCCGCAAGCAAGGTTAGGCAGGGGCTCCTGGCTAAGGTCAGTCTATTTGGGTTGAGCTACTGTGGGTCCCTGCTCCATCCATTTTTATTGTGGCCCCTCCCTCCTAGCCTGGCCTGCGGGCACTGACAAACGTATTTCAAGTCGGTCGCTTCTCTCCACTCTTTTTGGGTGGAGAGAGCGACGACCGGAAATACGTCTGTGTCCGCAGGCTACTCTCCTCCTGGAGGTCTAAACGTACGTAGTGTGACGAGGAAAATGGTACAACTTGTTGTCGGTTATTCTGCTAAAAGTGAGAAAAATTGATTACCTTGTCAGAATTTTTTCATTTTTCAAGAAAGTTGTTGCTGAAGAGAGCCGTTCCGGCGGTTTTTCCCTACAAATGAAAATGCTCGGGATCTAATCTGTTTTAATCTTGCTTATTTTCGTTACTAAGTTAAGTGTAACCTTGATTTCGAATAGGTCTGTTTACTGCTGATCAAAAGCTTGCAGGGAAAGAGAGTATCTTCACACGTCAGAATCCCACAGGAACGCGGCGGGGATATGAGTGTCCAGAGGAGAGAGATTATTACCCATACTGGCATCCTATAGATTGGAAGGATATTGCAGTGTTGACAAGTGATGTTTCACGGTGTGAATATTACAAGAAACACAGCTTTAATGTTGAGCCTAAAGGTTGGTCCTATCTTCTATCTTGTTGTATGTAATTTTTGGCGGGATCTAATTATTGCGAACTCCGCGGTTTTTTTGATGTTCCGAAAAAGAAAAGGTGCCGTGATTAAACCCGCGAAAAATTGGTGCACGAAAATTCACTCCTTTCCTACACGTACATGTACTTGCATATTTCTGAAATATAATTTAACTTACAAGCTGCATCTTTTAATGCTTTGGACTCTCTAATGGATGTCACAGGTAATGAGCTGCTCAGGGAAAATAAAAGCTTTCAAAGCCAGGGAAAAATCAGGGAATCAGTGTTTTCAGTCAGGTAGAATTTTAGGTCACAGTGCATCGGCGAATCCAAGCCTTCAGGTAACCGGGAGGTCTTCTTATAAGAGTGACGTCCTCGCTCTTGGAAATTATTTGGGGCCATTTATACGAGGGACAACAATGGATTGCTCTTCCTCAACGCTAACATAATGTACAAAATGTAGTCTTAATTACTTGCGGCAACCTCCTCTAACGGCCTGACCTCTAGACAACGGAGCCAGTTAGTCCAGGCGTTCCCTCCTCTCTCCCTCTTCCTGTCTTCCTCCTTATTGTTTTTCCTCCCTCTGATTTCTGAGCGCGCGTAAAAATCACCTCACGCGAGAAAGGCGAGACGGGCGAGGGGAGAGAAAAACGCGAGCTCGCGTTTCGCTCGCTCTACTACACCCGAGGAAAAATAGGGACTATTCGTTGACTACTAGTAAATTGAATTAAGTACATGAAAATGTCGGCGTCTGAATCAATTAGGAATGCCTGTTTCAATTTGGAACGGCTCAGCCATTCTTCCCGCCTAGCCTAGCCCGACCGGGAATTTTGACTTTGGATCGACTTTAGGAGCGGCTTTGATTCAGACGCCGAACTTCTTATGTATCGAGCCTAATACATAAATTGTTATAACGTTTTTTGTTAGCAGTTTTTCCGAAAAGAGCTTTTTTCTCCTTTTGTATTTTGTTCGGTTGGAATTAAGATCGGCGTCTGAATCAATTCAGCTGATCTAAATCATTTGGGTCGGCCTCAGTTCGAATAAGCTTCGGCTCATGAAAAGTTCGGCGTCTGAACCGGGCCTTAGAGTGTTTTCCAAAAGTCAGAACTGGCTGGCCAGTTCGTTATTTTGAAAATGACGTTTAGTATTTTCTCGAAATTTTTACTGAAACCCATCACTGCCGTGCTCACTATTTAAGAATGAACTGAGCTAGCTGGATAGTCCTGGTTAATAGTGGAATTCTCCTCTGTAACCAAGAAATTGCTTAAAATGCATTCTCCCCAAAAGGGAGATGTGTCCCCACTTCTCGTAAAAGACCTCCTGCAGTTCGACTCTCGCAAGAGACCATCTCGTGTAAGCGACCACCAACTCTTTGCCTTTTGGGTTTTCGCTTACTCTCCGGGATTTTCGATTGTATTTAAATTGAGGAGGATTCCTGACTGGAAAATTTCTTTTGACCAACAGGAGAGTGTGTAGAGCATTATCCAAGCGGCGCGCGCAAGCATTGGTCGAGGCACAATAATGCAAAAGATTGCACAGAAAATGGCGGGAAATGGATGACATTTACAAATTTCCTGGACAAAGTAAAGCATTACAATACAAAACAAAAATGTCTCTCGCAAGGGGATCGCTTTGTTTGGGCTATTCCTCATGGTGATGACAAGCCAATGTGTTTAGCTAAATTGGATGAACCTTATTGTGGCCAAGGTCCGTGGACAAGAGACAATCACCTTGGTAACACACCCGAAGGTGTGGCACCAAATTTTACCTGGACGATACCTTTGTTTCCTTCTGGTGAAGCTCAAATATGTATCTTTAGAATAAGGTTAGCACCCAAANCGAACTTCTTATGTATCGAGCCTAATACATAAATTGTTATAACGTTTTTTGTTAGCAGTTTTTCCGAAAAGAGCTTTTTTCTCCTTTTGTATTTTGTTCGGTTGGAATTAAGATCGGCGTCTGAATCAATTCAGCTGATCTAAATCATTTGGGTCGGCCTCAGTTCGAATAAGCTTCGGCTCATGAAAAGTTCGGCGTCTGAACCGGGCCTTAGAGTGTTTTCCAAAAGTCAGAACTGGCTGGCCAGTTCGTTATTTTGAAAATGACGTTTAGTATTTTCTCGAAATTTTTACTGAAACCCATCACTGCCGTGCTCACTATTTAAGAATGAACTGAGCTAGCTGGATAGTCCTGGTTAATAGTGGAATTCTCCTCTGTAACCAAGAAATTGCTTAAAATGCATTCTCCCCAAAAGGGAGATGTGTCCCCACTTCTCGTAAAAGACCTCCTGCAGTTCGACTCTCGCAAGAGACCATCTCGTGTAAGCGACCACCAACTCTTTGCCTTTTGGGTTTTCGCTTACTCTCCGGGATTTTCGATTGTATTTAAATTGAGGAGGATTCCTGACTGGAAAATTTCTTTTGACCAACAGGAGAGTGTGTAGAGCATTATCCAAGCGGCGCGCGCAAGCATTGGTCGAGGCACAATAATGCAAAAGATTGCACAGAAAATGGCGGGAAATGGATGACATTTACAAATTTCCTGGACAAAGTAAAGCATTACAATACAAAACAAAAATGTCTCTCGCAAGGGGATCGCTTTGTTTGGGCTATTCCTCATGGTGATGACAAGCCAATGTGTTTAGCTAAATTGGATGAACCTTATTGTGGCCAAGGTCCGTGGACAAGAGACAATCACCTTGGTAACACACCCGAAGGTGTGGCACCAAATTTTACCTGGACGATACCTTTGTTTCCTTCTGGTGAAGCTCAAATATGTATCTTTAGAATAAGGTTAGCACCCAAACGGCTTTTTACGCTGTAGGGGATTAAAACGAAACAAAAGCAAAAACAGAATCAATGATGCTTAATAGTGTTCATCGTTTTCAAACGCCTGGTTTTGTTGCCAGTCTAAGAAAAATTCCAAAGATCGCCCTTAATTCCATGTTGTGAGACAATGAAAAATTGGCTTGCTGTATTCCCTCTCTTAAATCCCGCCAGCTGCTGAAAAAACACACACGAACTTATAAAAGTCCTGCTGATGATGTTTCACTATACCATTATTAGTAAAGGAGATTTATTAGATTATGGTTTATGAAGGCCGTCGAACAACAAAGTTGAAAAAAACGGAGCTGTAGTTTATGTTGGAAGCTCCCTGACCTTGCACAATCCTTTGTTTTTTGTTCACAAATTGTGACTGAATAAATTGATGCGATCTTTCTATCTAATTGGTCAGTAAGTTCAAAAACATAGGATTGCTATTTATTATTGTCAGATCCCAAAAAGCTAACAAAAACCTATAGAAAAGGAGTCGAACGGGTTTCATAACCATTCCACTTTAATAACCATGAATGAACTGAATGATCACATCACAAGATTTCGTCTCTAGATTCTCAATCAGATCGTCTTATTAGCTAATTAAGGTTTGTATTACTTAAGATTTTTACAATGCGTATGCATACATGTACATGTGTAATTTCAATGACTTTTACCCTTATTTTATAGATATAACATATCCACAGATGACTATGATGGCTGGAAAACTAATTCTTCTTATAACAATGAGTAAGTTAATCGTTATCGTAAAGTGTTAATTTGTGCGCATTTTACTGAGTGGAAGGTGCTGCGTTCTTTTGTGTGGCGCTTGTAAGGCTAAATCTATATGGAGAAAGTTGCCTCGGGAAACAGGGTCAGACTTCCATCCTAGTCAACTTAAGCGAGCGTTTATATGAGGAAAAAGATGACCACTTTAACCGAGCCAAGAGCTGAAAACAGCGCTCGTGCATGCTCTGATTGTCTTGCCTTGACCGAATTGACCCGGCTGTGTGTGCCGAAGTGTTTACAAGGAGAAAAGTTGGCCCGGCCAGGAGGGTGACCCTTCTAGTCCAGCAGCCACACCCAGATTTTTAGCATAACCTTGCAGGCTCTTTCATACAAAGTTTTTTCACAAATTACTAAAGTACTATGAAGGGTCTTTCAAAATCCACCTGATGACACCTCGTAACCTTTGGGCATCACGAGATATTAAGGGATAATTTTCACTGAGGCATGAACTGGATGTAGGCTTCCTTTCTTAGGGTGCCCAAACCTGGTCTAGTGTCATAGTACGTTTGAATACTCTAAAGGACCATGTTGTTTGTTTAGAGTACACTAAAAAAACATTTTATAGGAAATCTTATTTGAAAAGTTGTTAAAGCCTTGCGAAATTAAGTACGGCTAACAACTAAGTTCTTTGTGTGATTCAAAAGTCCGACTAAGTCGTCTTAGGACGACAACTGTAACCACCAAGTAGCGGAAATTTTGATCGCTATTTATGACGTGTCAAACCGTCTTGTAAAGTCCTGTCTAGTGTGTAATATTCCGAGTCAAGCGCCTTAACAGAATCTGTTCCTCAGGAGAAGAACATCTTGAATCTGAATGTTCGTGGAAAGAGGGGAAACATTGTGCAGGTCAGTTGCTGTTTATCTGAAGGTTTTTATTTTTTCTAAACCTTTAGATGACAAATTACAAAAATAAACGTACATTCAGCAATTCTTTGATGACGGTGAGTATTATAAGGAGAATTTGCAGTTCGAGGAGGGTGTTATCCGCCGACAGCAAAGGTACTATAGTGCCTCATGTCATATCTTTTTCGAATCCAGCACAGTGCAGTTGTAACTGTTTAGTATTCTTTAAAAATATTTTGTTCTTCAAAATATACTTATCTCGATCCGTGTATACTTCTCGTCTTTATGCGCAGTTTTAGAATGTGAATGGGTGTTAGGCGTAGCAGATATTCCTCATCCTCTACATCCGGCGAGCGGAATTGTTTTTACAGTCTTAGCTATGAATTTAAGGCAGTACTTCTTTCTCTCTTCTCTAGCTCAACACTGTCAAAAACTAAGAAACTGCGTCTTGCGTCCCCTTTTCTGTCGATAACAATTCGATTGACGTTTATGGATTTTTTTAAAAAAATAATTTCCAAACGTTTTTACTTGAAAAAGTACCGCACTACCCTGGTGGTTTTGTACGCTGTATGGGATGGGCAATGCAAGGAAGCGCTAGTGGGCGTAACAGCCGTGAGGAGAATGGGGTGGAAACTCGCAGCTTCGCTTTTCATTTACGCACTCGCGAAACAAAACCCCCAGCTACGCTGGCTGGCTAGCAGCGGACAACTTCTGTACAAAACAAGATAAAAAAAGACAATGTTTCTTTGGAGACTACCACGTACGTAGTACATCAACTTCATTCAAAAAATAGAAAAGCTCATCTATTGAAGGGGCAAACCTTCTTAGTTTAAATCAAATGAATGCTGTTTTTTTTTCCCCTCATCTGAAGCTCTGTATGAGCGCTAGCATGTGAAGAGGCTCTCTAGGACGAGGTGAAAGCTCAAAAGGCGAACTTATTGGAAAGGAAAATCCCTTAATCCCCTATTTTCTAAAGTTTGAATTTGCCTTGGAAATAATATCAAAACCTGTCTTAAAATATTTATGTGACCAGCATCGCGAGTTAGCTACATGTAGCAGATGTCAATGAGATTCCGGGGAGCTTATTCACTAACTGGATGAGCGCCCCACTCCAGTCCCCTTACCTTCAGATCTGGGTCCGCCACTGTGATGGCTGAAGTGATAAGTGTGTATTATTGACCCCTAACATTGCCCCCTTGTCAGGCGGTTGCAAAGCAAAAATAGGGGCGAAACCTGACAACGACAGACTTACTGCACGGCCAACAATTTGATTAACAATAAACTACTGTGTCACTGGAAAGATGAGTGTCCCACCGCAATCCCCTTACTTTCAAATCTGGGTTCTCCACTGTGATGGCTGAAGTGATAAGAAGCCCGTTACAAGACTTCAGCTGAACAATCATCTGATACTCAAAGCTGAGCAGTTTGCCTGGAGGACACTATGAGTCAATTGTTAATTATTACCGTATAATCCAATTTACGTTTGTTTTTAGGTTTATCCTGCTGTGGAGTACGACTTTGTTCCCAACAAACTAACCTTGAATAAAGAAACGGATGTACTACACATTCAGTGGGCAGGTACGATATCCAACCCCGAGAGTGTTCCAAACATATACTAAACGAACTTTCATGTTGTTGCGTCGTCTTTTCTCATTCTGCCACGTAAATAAATAACAACTCTTAAACTCAACAATCGGAATACATGCATAAGCAAATAACGAAGGATTACAAAAAACTTGCATTGAATTATACAGATAAACTCTGTCCTAAAATCATGACATTTACTTTGAGTTGTCGACTGGACATTGACTGGAGACTTCATCCCACCATCTTAAAGTCATTGTCTGTTTGATAGTCTTTTGGTTTGAAGGGACTGAAATATGATCCTGTTGTTTGTTTGTTTGTTTGTTGTCATAGGCTCTAACACTCATAATAACAACAGTCCCGCAGGTGATGGACAGGCGGGGGATGCCGGCGAAGGGAAAGGTGGTAAGTAGGAACGCTAAACTGGTTTTCAGAATCAAAAATCTAAAATTTTCCTTCCTTTCCGTAATAATTGTCAGTTCATTACCTTAACTGTGTGATCTTGGTCGTTGCTTTACTGCTGAGTTTCTTTTGGCCGAAAACGCCGAAGTTGCTCCCTGGTGCTGAATGTCAGAGGACGACTCTAGAAACAAGTATAGCAACGCTTTAGAATGTTTTGAACGACTTGCCTGTGTTTGACAAAACAAGGAGATTTTAAGAAAATAGAAAGAGTGGGCACACTTTTGTTGCCATCTTGCAAAACTGAAAAGAAATGGAGTGAATCCAATTCAGTACGTTTTAGAATCCGCCGTTTGAAAATACGTCGAGCCAGTTCATACACCCAGTGTGCCATTTAGGAAAAAAAAAGAAAAACGAAAGAAAGAACAACAACACAACAACAACAACAACAACAACGACCGTGTGGACGGGTTATCCATTCCTAGGTATTTCGAGAACGGACCTCTGGAGCCAGGTTAATTTTAAGTCTCTAAAAAAAAAAACAATGTGTTTCTCAGGAACTGATAGAAACAACATGGTGGAAACACGCAATCCGTTAGACAACTACCCGCTGCCATGGGAGATGTCTAAACTTTTTCGTGGAGCTACGATTCGTTGGACAAGCCTGGAATTCAAGTCTCCCAAAGCTGAAGACATTGCTGTTAGCTTGGCGACTGCAGGTATGCATGATTTGTTATTGTATTTTAACCCCAAAACAAGACAATTTAGCAATGCTGCCGGCTTATTTTTGCCAGGATGTGCATTGTTGGTCTGCACCTGATGTCAGGAACAAATTGAAACGTTTCTCTTCGCTGGGAACTAAACTCCATACTAACGCATTGTCCGCGAGAAAAGTTTTATGTTATAACTCACTTGGGAAAAGAGTTATAGCCTGGGACCCTAACTAGGCGCGCGCTCATCTATGGGATTATTTGGGGGGACGTGAATGAAAAAAAACATGGCGGAAAGCGAAGTGGAATGTTTCAGGGGAGTTCCTAAAGTTAATTGTACACAAAAGCACACAGCAACTTGTATGTCTCGTCATAATTCAAGGTGGCTGCTGGACTTGACCCCTTAACAATCCCACAAATGCGCGCGCGCTTAGTTTGGGTGCCAGGCTATCACTCTTTTCCGAAGTGAGCTATTGACCCCTAACATGGTCCCTTGTCACGTGGTTGAAAACCAAGAATAGGCACGTTACCTGTGTGTTTCTTATATAGTCATCCCAGAGAGCAGAGCGTCCTTCTGTCTTCTCGACAACCTCGTTCCCAGGGTCCTCTCTCTCTCGCCACGGGGGCGGAGTAGGAGAGGACCCTGGGAACGAGATTGTATTCTTGAGTGATAAAGAGAAAAGGAGGCTCTGCCTGAATCGCATTAAGACTTTCAAGTTGCCGCAGCCCAAACTTCTGGACTAGTCAATCTTCTTTTCTCCAGTCATACTTTATCTTCCCGAGCCCGAGCAGCCGTTTATCGATAGAACAATGGTCGTCACTGAGCCTTGCACCAAGCGCACTACTATTAGGCCTGGATTCGAAACTGTATCGTAGTAACAGACAGCGCATGCTCAACAAAGACCTTACTCGATTCACGCAGAGTCTTTCTCAAATAACGACGATTTTGAGCAACGCACGTCAACTGGAAGTGGCCTTTTTTCATTTTTGGACGATGGTTTTGCCCATATTTTCAGTCAAATCGTCACTATAGGGGTAAAGAAGCTAAGCAATACAAATTTTATATCGTCAAGGCATATTAAGAGGAAACAAGCCTTACTTCCGGTTGACGCCCGTCGCTCAAAAACGCCGTTGCTTAAGCTCCCTAATAATCAAGCAAGCGGAAGAAAGGCTCTCTTGGCTGGTTGCTAGACTGAGGAATCTTGTACTAATCCCAGTTCCTTTTTTTCTTTATTTTCAAGGATATTACAGCTGTTTGCGCAAGAGTACTTGTAATAAAGATTCTGTGGAAGCAAAGGCAACCAAAATGGACTCACTTTTGAACAATGCACCGGCATCATTTGGTGGCATGATTCTAGAGTTCAGTAATACAGGATGTTTTTACTACATATGCTCAAGAAATAACAATTTTTCAAATAGAAGTCAAAAGGGTGTAATTTGTATCAATTAATTAATTCAGATATCCGGATGCTTTGTAACTAAGTGTGGTTGAATTTGAAAGGAAAAATGTTTTAATTTAATGCTTTTAGGTAATGTTACATATGCAAATGCAGAAATTCATTTTTTTAAAATAGAAAATTATTATTAATGTAGAGATGCACTTGTAGAACGATTTTGTACTTAATTCAGTTGAACCTCTCCACAACGGCGTTCACCTTGGGGACAGAAGAAAGTGGCCGCTGAAGAGAGGTTTAAACAAGAGTCAATGAATGACGACGGTGCGCGCAAATCAAACAACTGGCTTGACCAATGGCATAGCGGCAAATTTAGCACCGGAAGTCGTGGTTAGTCCTTTCCGCGCGCTTTCCCGTCGTCAACTGACCTTCCCGTCCTGTTGCTAAATCAGCCTAATTAATAGTTTAGACGAGTGCTGGTGGGCCGGCTGCAACGCAGGCTATGAATGGACTGTCCGCCAAAAATAGTGGCCGTTGTGGAGAGGTGGCCATTAGTGGAGATTCGACTGTGGTAAAATGAGTTTGATATGTGACTGAAAACAAAAAAAGATTTTATACTCTGTACACCTCGTACGAGTTGTGGCAAAAGGTTTTCTATTTTCGGAACTGGTTCAAGTGGTGAGTGTGTTACATTTTCAGTAAAATTAAAATATTGAAGTCTACTTTCTCATCAGGGAAATTCAGAAATTTAATGGTTAGCCGTATAAATGGCCCTATTCCGTGACGTGCCACTGGTGACACCACATCTCATTTGGACTTTCAACAAAGTCCTTCGTCGGATTTGCGACTTCGTCGCTCGGTCGGCCGCTTCGCGGCCTAAAAAGGCTCGCTCCGCTCGCCAAGAGGTCGACTTGTAGCAAGTCTACATCTCATTTGGAGGGGCCGGTTCGCGGGGAGGGTGCTATTCAATGGTACTACTCGTACAAGTTGTGCAACCAGTGCAGTTGAGTCTCATTTGAGGTTTTAAGAATGAAACAAAATAAAAAGGAAAAAAAAAAGATTAAATAAAAAGCTCAATAAAAGACCGTTGCTAAGATACGAACACAACTTTATGTGGCTGTCAGTTTTTTCTCTCGATTGCAATGCGGCACTAGGGAAGAGGAACCTTTGTAATGGCCTACACGGGAGCTTCCCCCAAAAGGGGTACCTTTATCAGGCTTCAGGTGTATGAAAGGGTAGGAATTTCACGAGTTGACGTATGTGGAAGGGTAGGGAAATCTGCTTAATTCAAATATTTTTGAACAGAGGTACCGTTTGGCCGTATCATTTTAATTTATGAAATGCTACATATGATAAAAAGAAGGCGTACTTTTATCAGGTATGTGAACGAGACACCATTTTTTAATGAAAGGTATATAAAAGGGGCAACATATATATATATATAACACACACCCTCCACCCCCCGCCCCCTTCATGTAATGCGGTTACAATGTCTTCTAATTCTGGGGAAAAGTAAATAAAGAGTCGTGGTTTGCGCCAGATTGAAGAAAGCCTGAGTGGCTTCTTTGTATGGATATCGTTAGGAGGAAACTGATGCTGGTGCAGGTACGCCGTTGACTGCCAAGTACAAATTTCGTAGCCGAGGGACTTTTCCTTTTTTTTACTTTAAGCGGCTCTAAGGGCAAGACATTTGTGGCAACTAATTAAGGACTGTGAGATTCCAACGCGTCTTTGAACCCCTTGAATCGTGTATATTTGTTCTTGACGATACGGATTCCATTCGAGGGTTATTTATCAGCAGGCAGACGTTTACTGTACTTGGCCATGAATCATCCCGATCTATCCTGACAAAATCCAGCTTCTCACACAGCCTTATCAGGGTGTCAGATTTTGCGCTACAACCCCGGCCCCAGCCCTATCGGAGGAAGCGTCGGCAATAATCCCAGCAGTGCGTTGCGAGAATGGGTGATTGCCGACGCTTCCTCTGATCTCAGCCCCAGCCCCAGATAGAAAAAAAAGTTTAAGAATGCTGTTTTAGGGTGAGGGTTAGCGTTGACACTGTCCCTAGCCCTATACCCTAAACAGCAGTCTTTGAGATAGATCCCGACTCTGGGTTTTACTGACACCCACCTGGTCGAGTATGGCATCTCTTATTTTTTAGTACTGTCCAGTCCATTGTCAGCCTTGATGGTGTCAACGTCGTGTAGTTCTTGGGCTACCTTGATTTGGGTGACCAAGTTGAGGTTGCCAAAACAGCACTTTTGAAGCGGTTTCTTCATTATGGCGAGCGCAGTGGCCAGGTAATCTTAATCTTCTATTCCTTTGAATAGTCCATTTAAAAAATTACCGATTCACAGTTTGATTTAATGTCCATTTCTGGTGAGTGAGTGGGTGCTTTTACGTCCCCTTCGATTTTGACTAATGAAAGAAGGATGAAGGCGACGAGGCAAACGGCTTAACGTCACCGCCCAATAACGCGATCATCGGTAAGGAGGGGTTCATGAATGTGAGGCAAACATCAAGCAATCGCCGATAAAGACAAAAAGGTGCATGGCGAATGTTATAGATTTATTATTTTTTTTTAAAAAAAGAAGATTCCTATTTATAGTATCGAGGCAGGCCTTAATTTGAGAAATAGCGCAAGACATTATATTTCTGAAGATTCCATCATTCAATGTAGGTGCTGCTATTATAAAAAAAAAAAAAAGGTTTAAGGCTTGTTCATAGTGGAAAGAGCACTTAGCTTGTCCAGCTTATTTATCGTCAGTTATAACACAGAGTTGAGTTTGAAAATACTAAAAAAGAGCTAGAAATTAATTCACTGAACGAAACAGACCAATTGTACAGACAAGACATCAATAGATATTAGTGAAGAAAACGTACGCGGAAGAGAAAAACCACTCGAGTTCAGTCTCGGAATAAATTCACGCTTTTGTACCAAAACTCGGTAACAGATGTGTTGGTTTCCGTCCGCCATGTTGGTGCCCATCCAGGTGGGCACCAGCATGGCGTCTCCATACAAATCTCTATAAATATGGTTAAAATATTTCTTAGGATATCTCGTATACGGAATATTCTTCTGGCCTTAAGCTTGGCGAGGGTCTTTGTATATTTACCTCTTTTCATTCCCCAGATTCCGGACTTTATCTATCGAACGGTTTTGATTTTTATTTTGATCTATTTTGAATGGCGTGACACTGAAAACCAGCAATACAACGAAAGATCAGCAAACTTGTAACCTTGTCAGTAGCCCTGTTATTCTTTCTCCCGGATACCGTCGAAATGGAAATGAAGGAAAAATAATCCCTTTTTGGATACATGGTTTCTTTTCTCAACGAAAAATCCTAATGATCCGGATTTTTGATCGGATCTTGGATTTTAGTAAAGAAACGCACCCCAAATCTGAACATCACCATCACCATCACTATCATAGTCACTATCATCATCACCATCATCATCATCATCATCATCATCATCAGCAACAATATCATCGTCATCATCTTCATCATCATCACGTACTAGTGCCAAATTAACACCACCATCAACGCCAGCATCATCATCATCATCATCATCATCATCATCGTGTTAGCTCCGGGCAGTATTGAGAACAACGCGTAGTGTTTGTTTTACATTTTTCAAAATAAATCTGTTTTTGTTAATTAAAGAGGCAAAAATTAATAAAAGCTGATCCAAACTATTTTAAACTCTCATGGATGAAAATGTCATGAAACTGCTCAGGAGAACAGGTTGGTCACGTGGTATAATTTCTAAATCTCTCGAATGAGTGAGATCATGAGACCACGGGTAACCCAGAGTCACTATTTGTGTCACCTACGGGTTTCATTATAACATTAGTAAATATAGAGAACATATGGGGCGACGTTTAGGCTATTTAGGTCTGGAAATTTGTTAGAACATGGAAAGAAAACTTGATGAAACTTACGTATCATGTTGCGAGTTGTTGTTGTTGTTGTGTGCACACGCACTGAGTTTCGGGAACAGTAGTCTCCTTCATCTTTCCTACATAGTAGAGACTATTTTTCCCGAAACTTCGTGTGCATATTAAGGACAATGACAACTCGCCATATGATAAGTCTCATCGATTTTTATTTCCAGTTTCTGGCAAATTTCCAGACCTAAACTTCGCCCCATTCCGCCCCATATGTTCTCTACGTGACACAAATAGTGAGCCTGGGTTGCCTGTGGTTAGAGCTGGGCCCGAGAATCAACCAAGATGGCGCCTAAAAAACGTGCTTGTTCCAATCCTGAACTTTACAGTGATTTCACCGTTTGTACTGAACTTCAACACTGTGGCTTAAACGGTTAACCATTTCGTGGTTTATTCGTCGTCGTTTAGCTCCTTTATGTGTATAGAAATGTGCTTCAGCAACGGGAAACAAGCTCCAGATGACGCAAAGCAGCACAAGAAGTCTATTGGCCCGGAGGTTAAACTAAAGGTAAGGCTCCGCTGAGATGGTAGAAATGTGGTAGAAACTAAAATTCTTTTATTAATTTAAGAATTTAAATTTGCCAACAGCTTGGTTGACAGCCCTGCATGAAGTCTTAACAGGGGCGGATCCAGGATTTTTTTAGGAGGGGTGCACTCGTCTTTTGCTCTACTTCAAGACCAATAAACCACAGTTTTTTTTTTATTTTGTGCAGAATACCAGTTGTATTAGAAAACCACAGGTCATCTCAGGGGGGAGGGGGGGGGTGCACACCCCCTGCACCCTCCTCCTAGATCCACCCCTGCTTAATGAAGGGCTGTCAACCAACCATGCAAGATATTTGAAATAATTCATTTTCGCAAGTTTGAGCCTACAGGAAATGGTAAACTTTGGCAATTAGCCTTAAGATTTCATACTCTAATCTGGATCTCTGGAGACCGGCAGATACAGTCCAAAATCTGGAGTCCCTTGGTTTAAGTGGGAGAATTGATAGCCTTGTACATGCATATTTCCTGGCTCAAACTCCATTAAGGGGACCTTTCTTGATAAATTCCACCAATGTGACAAGGCTACATATCCCTGGTTTGCAACCACATGACAAAGCAGCATGTTGGGGGTCAAAACAGTAGAATTTTTTCTCAAAGAATTTACATGACTGTTGTGATGTCAGCGGCAAACCACGAATATGAATACCTTATTATAGGTAATTAATGCTCCATGAAATTTATTGTGAATCGTTAAAATTTGTGTTAATTTAAGTCGCATTAATTTTGTTGAGCGTTAATATCCCCAACGTTAATTAAGTGCAGCATTAATTTCTGCGCTCTTAATTTCCAGTATTTTAACCCCAATTTTGGAACCTGTCCAGACATTCTTGACACCTAAAAAACATTAACTGCAAGCTTTCTTTCTTTCCATTTACCCTTTTTTAACCATCTTTCACAAAAGCTAGGGCGAAGGTTTACAATATTTCAAGTTCATTTTCATCGTTGTCACTGTCAGAAGTGATGGCAATATCTTCTCCTTTGATTTCGGCCACCAACTATGTCTTAATCGTGTTAATTTCCTTTATTATGAAATTCTACCTCCTCTTTCACATTAGTTTTCTTTATTCGAAAGTCGTTTTCCATTAAATTCGTGTTAATTTAAGTCGTGTTAATTTCCAATACCTTAATTTCATGGAACGTTAATTTCCTTTAATAAGGTACCATAAATTCTGTAAATACTTCCTACCCAGTTAATTCCGAAACTGCCCATCGCAATTCATACATCTCCCATAATACACCTTGTTTGCCTTCCAAAACTTTGCATAACCTTTGTTTTTAATTTCTACTGGGTATTGCAGTGGCCGGCTCTCTTTATTTTCTGTTACGAATGCGTTTTAGTATCCCCCATTTGTTCCACATAATACCCTCTATACGTTTGTCGCTTAAGGACGGAGACACGTTTGGGTCTCGTAGAGTGGAAAAAATTAAAAATTTTAGTCAAATTTCCGGGTTATGTTGGCAGTTTAGATGGTCAAATGCCCCACAAATTAGCACTTCAAAAAGCCTCACACACCAGCCAATATTCAAAACATTTTCTCGTGCATCAAGCCATTTATTTAAAGAGATGCTAACCTTTGGAGATCTAAAATCTGGAGACTCTCTCCTTTGTACTACGCTTCTCCCCAGAATGTCAGCCCCAAAATTATGATATGGGAATGGATAAGGACATCATAGAAAGTCTTACATGAAGAGCATAGCATCAAAATAGGAGTACATGAACAAAGTCCTAGTTGTACTAAGTACATATGAAATTTACCAAGATTTTGAAAGATTGGATTAGTATCTGCATCCAAAGGAGTTTTTAGTTCTGATCACTCGTTTCTGTAAAATCTCAAGACGAGTAAGGTGTGTTCTGTAAGCAGAGGCCCAAAGTAAGTTGCATTAAAAAAAATATGAATAAACTAGAGAAAAATATAATGTTCGTAAAAGTTTGGTAGATAAATATAGAAACTGGATTTATGAATATTTCCTATGCATTTAGAAACTATATTGGCGACATGTGAGATTTCAGATTTCCAATTTAATTTTTCATCGTTGATGTACAGCAGAACAAACAAAGGCCCATGTAAGCTACATGTAAGCTACGTATACAACAAGAGCTTTACAAGTGAATTTTTTTTCATGCAAATCTTATTCAATCTTGCCCCAACGTTTGCAGTCCTTCATGAAAAAATCTTTGTTCCTGACTTTTTTATAGGGACAGGTTTAAGGTTTAGTGCATGCTCATTAATTAAATTACTTTCTTCCAATTTATTGTTAATTCTATCAGTTAATAATCCCACTCACATGTATGTCAGCCTTCTCAGAGTGTATTTCAAAGTAAAAGTGTATTTCAGAGTAACCTGAACATTGAATTTATTGTTGACCCGAAGGTTTTATTCCATGGTTGATGAATTTACAGCTATTTGCACATAAGTTGATCAAGTGACTGCCAGGGGAGTGTGCAGATTGGTTTTTGACAACATTATGAGGTTTTCGCTGCTGTTGCCATCAGTAATGCTAAAGCTCCCTCTTATGGCTGAACGGGAGTGTGCTCCCTTCATCAGATCATCAAGATGCTATATTCAAATGTGGCTGCTAATAAATTATATATTGGAATTTCCCCTACCAGGAACACACATCCTTAGTGATAAGTGTTTCTCTACCCAGGAAACAGATACCACTGGTGATGTGTTCCCCTACCTGGGAAACAAATATTACTAGTAATATTAAATAATTTTGTTCCCCTATCTAGGAAACGCATACCACTCTCGATACTGACATCGATACTACGTTGAGATCTGAAAAAGCAAATTTCTAGAAGGCCTCTTTGTATTAAAAAAGTGATATATTTGAGAAAGTAAAGGCATATCAGTTTTGTTCAGCTGGTTAGTTATGGTATTGAATTCCTATCTCTTTTTAATGCCTGCTCATCTTATATTTTACGCCCCCCAAATTAAATAAATGCACCAGGTGCTTCTCAGATCATTAATAATAATCAGGCCAAGATGCTTATTCAAATGTGGCTACTAATAATTATTTATGCAAGTATGGTTTACTAGAATTAATTGGTGTGTTCTCGAAATTGTTATTATTTTAGTAAATTAATTATCAGTGAATTAATGAGCTGACTCACATTTTCAACTTTTCTTTCCAGATCAGATGCCCCAGATTGGATCAAGACTTTAGCAGCCTGGATTTAGTTAGTCTTGGAGATTATCTTCAGTACTGTAAGTGCAGTGCATTTTACTTTTTCAAAGTCTCTGATTTTTGTTACAGTTATATTGAACATCTTTGAAGGACAACCCTTCCTGATATACAAGCTTGAGATGTACCGTGAGAAAGGAAGAGGACACTTATTTTCCAGTAATTAGGGAGCTTTAGCAATGAAGACGACCACGGCATTAAGAAGGTCAAAAAAGGAATAGGTTTTGATGAGTACACTGTTTTGATAAGTCACCTCATGACTACGACATGAAAATGCCTAATTTCATGTGTTATGAAGGAAGTAAATAAGCAACAACAAATTTTTCTTTCTGAGTACTGTCCCAAGAAATCAACTCCAGGGAAATTCACCTACATTAATTTGACCTTCTCATCGAAAATGAATAAATGCACCAAAGTTTGAAAAAAATGCAAATTCATTTTTTGGGTTCGTACAGGGTCTTGAATTCTTGAAAAAATCTTGAAATTTGCCCAGCAGTTTTCCAGCCCTGGAAAAGTCTGGTAAATGGAGATAAAGTCTGGAAAAATGGATTAAGTCTTGAGTTTTTTTCTTATTTTATTTTACTTTTGTTTATTTCATTGTTAAGTTAAGCTACAAAGGGTGCTTTTAACTGAAATTTGTTTTGGTTTGGTCAAATCGTTTTTTCAATATTGCACCTAAGTTTGCAGCCCATCATGAAATAAAGCTTTCTTCCTGCCTTTTTTAAGGTCTCTATCGATCACCCATTTTGATAACCCTTGAGTCTGGAAAAAAAACTGTTGTTTTGGAAAAAAGTCTGGAAAACGTCTTGATTTTTGGATCCAAATCCAGTCAGAACCCTGACTAACCGCGGCAGGATTAGCTCAGTCGGTAGAGCGCTTGACTGCAGAGCGGGAGGTCGCGGGTTCGATTCCCGGGCCGGACCAATACTCAGGGTCTTAAACAATAACTGAGAAATGAAGGTACTTCCTATGCTCTGCAGGCGGATGGACCTTCGCGTGGCTCGGATGACCACGTAAAATGGCGGTCCCGTCTCCATTAGGAGACGTAAAATATAGTGTCCCCAATTAGCACTTTCGTGCTAAATACATTGACACTCAAATAAAGTGCATTTTTTTTTTTTTTTTTTTTTTAAATAATGTGANATAAGCAACAACAAATTTTTCTTTCTGAGTACTGTCCCAAGAAATCAACTCCAGGGAAATTCACCTACATTAATTTGACCTTCTCATCGAAAATGAATAAATGCACCAAAGTTTGAAAAAAATGCAAATTCATTTTTTGGGTTCGTACAGGGTCTTGAATTCTTGAAAAAATCTTGAAATTTGCCCAGCAGTTTTCCAGCCCTGGAAAAGTCTGGTAAATGGAGATAAAGTCTGGAAAAATGGATGAAGTCTTGAGTTTTTTTTCTTATTTTATTTTACTTTTATTTATTTCATTGTTAAGTTAAGCTACAAAGGGTGCTTTTAACTGAAATTTGTTTTGGTTTGGTCAAATCGTTTTTTCAATATTGCACCTAAGTTTGCAGCCCATCATAAAATAAAACTTTCTTCCTGCCTTTTTTAAGGTCTCTATCGATAACCCATTTTGATAACCCTTGAGTCTGGAAAAAAAACTGTTGTTTTGGAAAAAAGTCTGGAAAACGTCTTGATTTTTGGATCCAAATCCAGTCAGAACCCTGATTTTAAAATAATGTGATGTTTTCGCTGCTGTTGCTGTTGTCGATGCTAAAGCTCCCTCTTATGGCTGAACGGGAGTGTGCTCCATTAATCAGGTCAAGATGCCATATTCAAATGCATGTGGCTGCTAATAAATTATATACGCTAGAATTAGGTTTGTTTTGGAAATTAATAATCAGTAAAATTAATTGTTAACGAGCTGTAACATAATTATTTTCAACTTTTCTTTCCAGATTAGATGCCCTAGAATGTATCAAGACTTCATGAGCAGCCCAAATTTAGTTAGAGGTTATCTTCAGTTCTGTAAGTGCTGTATATTTTACTTTGTAATCCAGCTCTTGAGTGAACCAGATAAGCTTAACTGGAAGCTGTGTTTGGACAAAGTATCATTAAGCTAATCCAGGGAAAGCTGTACCTAGTTCTTTCTTTTTACAATAATTTTTTTTATTATTTCGCCACCAAGTGTACCACAGCGACTGGAACTACATATGGAAGTTCATCAATCTTTCTGTTTGCAATAAACCAGGCAAATTAATTCACTTTTCGCAAGCAAATCAAAATACAAAAATTTAGAGAATTCGATGCTAAGCAACAGATCAAAATGATTATTACAACTAGCTCAACATTAATTTATTTTGTACCACATTTTGATTTGACTTATGGTAATTCAGATTATTTGATCCCATGTGGAATGTTTTCCTTAACAGTCAGGACTCAGCAGTCTATACTGTTGGCCCGCAACTAGGCATTGATCATGAATAATAGTGATTTAATCTGATTAAATTTGGCACTTAAATAAGAGCAACTAAATAAGTTTATTCTGTCCTTCTTCCTGTTTCAACTAAATTTTATAGACATATTAGCACAAAATTGCACTATCAGTGTACAAACACCCCTTTTCCTGCAGGGTAATAATGGTTACGACAGCAGCAGATACACCTCTATTTTGCATTAATATTTTGATTACTAAATTCCAGGTGATGTACAATTGTTGGTGAAGTGATGACTAATGCAAAAATCTTCATGGTTATTGTTAGTTTTCTCCTGGATTAGCATTAACCTACTTTGTTCAACTGTGTCATGGTTTTTTTTTGTTTAATCAAAGCCAAGTTCTGCTGAACATAATCATCATGACCAAACTGGTACTAGTATGGATATGCAATCTACAGTGCATGCTACCCTTTAAATAATTCATTCTTACTGAGTAAAACTGATTGACTAGTTTTGAGATCAAGAAATTATTGACTGTCTGACGGAATAACTGATTTCACAGCAATTAAAAGTGGCCTCAGAAATTAGAATTTATTGACCCTTGTAAATGAAAATTATCATTATTTTTTTTATTGGACTGATTCAGTGTTTCTCAATGGCTGGCTAATTGTCTCAGAAGCTGCTAATTGTCTGACTGACTTGGTGGAGCTTGGTTTTAGTGACTCAGTGATTGACCGACAACTTACATGTACATAACCACTGTCTGAATGACTCAAGAACTATCAAACTGATTGACGTTATTGATGGATTGATAATGTGGTGTGCTCACCATTGCAAAGAAAGAATTTTTTGTTGCTGGATTGACTGTGTTTCTCAATTGCTGGCTACATGTAACTGCCTCAGAAGCTGTTAAATGTCTGACTGACTTAGTGAAATGCATGATTTATTGACTCAGTTATTGACTGACATCAACTGACCTAGCGACTGTCTGAATTGAACTGATTGACATTACTGCTATACTGATTCTTTAGCTCAGTGGTTATTTATTTTTGTTGGACTAGCTGTGGGTTTTGATGGCTGGCTGAATGCTTCTGAAGCTGTTAATATTGCCTGACTGACTTGGTGGAATCATTAATGACTCATTCGTTGACTGACAACTGACATAGTGACTATCTGAATGACTCAGGAACTTTCAGAGTGATTGACCTTATTATTAGACTGATCATGTGGCTCCATGGTTAAAAGACAAAATGAGTAGCTGCTTGTCTTTGTCAGTAACACTGTGGTTGACTGATCATCTGACTGGTCACTCAGTAAAACTGTTATAAAAATCTCACTGACATGTTGTTGGATGGACCCATTGGCACAGTGGGAGACTAACTAGTGGACTTCGTGAGTGTTTGGCTGTGTTTGACTGACATGTTGCTAAAACAACTCTAACTTACATGTAGTGACTGACCAGCTCACTGGGTTGCTGTGTGTCTGACTGGTGTAACGCTAGACTGACTTACAGTGAGTAACATGTACAGTATTGAATAACTCGTTGCCTCAGCAGTAGCTGTGCGTTTGACTGATGTAGTACTGGACTAACTGACAGTGACTTACATGTATTCATGGACTGGTTGCCTCAGCAGCAGCTGTGTGTCTGACTGATATAATACTGGACTAACTGACAGTGACTTACATGTATTGATTGACTGGTTGCCTCAGCAGCAGCTGTGTGTTTGACTGATATATTACTGGACTAACTGACAGTGACTTGCATGTATTGATTGACTGGTTGCCTCAGCAGCAGCTGTGTGTTTGACTGATATAATACTGGACTAACTGACAGTGACTTACATGTATTGATTGACTGGTTGCCTCAGCAGCAGCTGTGTGTTTGACTGATATAATACTGGACTAACTGACAGTGACTTACATGTATTGATTGACTGGTTGCCTCAGCAGCAGCTGTGTGTTTGACTGATATAATACTGGACTAACTGACAGTGACTTACATGTATTGATTGACTGGTTGCCTCAGCAGCAGCTGTGTGTTTGACTGATATAATACTGGACTAACTGACAGTGACTTACATGTATTGATTGACTGGTTGCCTCAGCAGCAGCTGTGTGTTTGACTGATATAATACTGGACTAACTGACAGTGACTTACATGTATTGATTGACTGGTTGCCTCAGCAGCAGCTGTGTGTTTGACTGATATAATACTGGACTAACTGACAGTGACTTACATGTATTGATTGACTGGTTGCCTCAGCAGCAGCTGTGTGTTTGACTGATATAATACTGGACTAACTGACAGTGACTTACATGTATTGATTGACTGGTTGCCTCAGCAGCAGCTGTGTGTTTGACTGATATAATACTGGACTAACTGACAGTGACTTACATGTATTGATTGACTGGTTGCCTCAGCAGCAGCTGTGTGTTTGACTGATATAATACTGGACTAACTGACAGTGACTTACATGTATTGATTGACTGGTTGCCTCAGCAGCAGCTGTGTGTTTGACTGATATAATACTGGACTAACTGACAGTGACTTACATGTATTGATTGACTGGTTGCCTCAGCAGCAGCTGTGTGTTTGACTGATATAATACTGGACTAACTGACAGTGACTTACATGTATTGATTGACTGGTTGCCTCAGCAGCAGCTGTGTGTTTGACTGATATAATACTGGACTAACTGACAGTGACTTACATGTATTGATTGACTGGTTGCCTCAGCAGCAGCTGTGTGTTTGACTGATATAATACTGGACTAACTGACAGTGACTTACATGTATTGATTGACTGGTTGCCTCAGCAGCAGCTGTGTGTTTGACTGATATAATACTGGACTAACTGACAGTGACTTACATGTATTGATTGACTGGTTGCCTCAGCAGCAGCTGTGTGTTTGACTGATATAATACTGGACTAACTGACAGTGACTTACATGTATTGATTGACTGGTTGCCTCAGCAGCAGCTGTGTGTTTGACTGATATAATACTGGACTAACTGACAGTGACTTACATGTATTGATTGACTGGTTGCCTCAGCAGCAGCTGTGTGTCTGACTGATATAATACTGGACTAACTGACAGTGACTTACATGTATTGATTGACTGATTGCCTCAGCAGCAGCTGCGTGTCTGACTGATGTAATACTGGACTGACAGTGACTTACATGTATTGATTGACTGATTGCCTCAGCAGCAGCTGTGTGTCTGACTGATATAATACTGGACTAACTGACAGTGACTTACATCTATTGATTGACTGATTGCCTCAGCAGCAGTTGTGTGTCTGACTGATATAATACTGGACTAACTGACAGTGACTTACATGTATTGATTGACTGATTGCCTCAGCAGCAGCTGTGTGTTTGACTGATATATTACTGGACTAACTGACAGTGACTTACATGTATTGATTGCCTGATTGCCTCAGCAGCAGCTGTGTGTTTGACTGATGTAATACTGGACTAACTAACAGTGACTTACATGTATTGATTGACAGTGAACGGACAGTGACTTACGAGGGCGGATCAGGAAGTTCTTTCACCAAGAAAAGTGTTAGGTTCTCCATGCAACAATGGTTCTTCATTCTTATTTTAATCTTTAGACCTCATTAACAGCTAATTGTTGTGGAATTTGCCAGGTCCTGTTATTTACACGCTGATTTGGTTATGACATGGAGCCTTCAAGGGAGTATATTAGTTTCTACATTTACACTCGTTATAAATTAGGTTTCCGAGCAAGGCCTGTCCATGAAGAGCTTGTGACGGTTTATAGGGACCTTCCAACTTCTTTTCGCACAGTTGCCAGATGGAATCAGCATTTCAGTGGTGGCAGAGAGAGCGTTAAAGATGAAGCACGTGCTGGGAGGCCACGGACGTCTGTGACCGACAGTTCTGTGGAGAGAGCCGAAGTATTAATAGTAGAAGACTCCAACTATAACACTCAGATTCTTAGCTTTGGGGCTTGGTGTAAGCTACGGAAGTGCACATGCTATCGTCCATGAGCAGCTTTGTCGGTCCAAGAGGTGCACAAGATGGTTCCCCCACCAGTTGACAACATAACAGAAAGAACAATGGGTGGCAATCTGTCGCAATTGGTTGCAAGAATTTGAGCCACTGTTGCTGTTGTCGATGCTAAAGCTCCCTCTTATGGCTGAACGGGAGTGTGCTCCATTAATCAGGTCAAGATGCCATATTCAAATGTATGTGGCTGCTAATAAATTATATAATGCTGGAATTAGGTCTGTTTTGGAAATTAATAATTAGTAAAATTAATAATTAATGAGCTGTAACATAATTATTTTCAACTTTTCTTTCCAGATTAGATGCCCCAGAATGTATCAAGACTACATGAGCAGCCCAAATTTAGTTAGAGGTTATCTTCAGTACTGTAAGTGCTGTATATTTTACTTTGTAATCCAGCTCTTGAGTGAACCAGATAAGCTTAACTGAAAGCTGTGTTTGGACAAAGTATCATAAAGCTAATCCAGGGAAAGCTGCACCTAGTTCTTTCTTTTTACAATAATTTTTTTGATTATTTCACCATCAAGTGCCACAGCGACTGGAACTACATGTAGAAGTTCATCAATCTTTCTGTGTGCAATAAACCAGGCAAATTAATTCACTTTTCGCAAGCAAATCAAAATACAAAAATTTAGAGAATTCCATGCTAAGCAACGGATCAAAATGATTATTACAACTAGCTCAACATTAATTTATTTTGTACCACATTTTGATTTGATTTATGGTAATTCAAATTATTTGATCCCATGTGGAATGTTTTCCTTAACAGTCAGGACTCAGCAGTCTATACTGTTGGCAATTCAGCCGGCAACTAGCATTTCAACACAAGGCATTGAGCACAAATAACAGTGACTTAATCTGATTAAATTTGGCACTTAAATAAGAGCAACTAAATAAGTTTATTCTGTCCTTCTTCCTGTTTCAACTAAATTTATAGACATTTTAGCGCAAAATTGCACTATCAGTGTACAAACACCCCTTTTCCTGCAGCAGCAGAAACACCTCTATTTTGCATTAACATTTTCATCACTAAATTCCAGGTTATGTACAATTGTTGGTGAAGTGATGACTAATGCAAAAATCTTCATGGTTGGTGTTAGTTTTCTTCTGGATTAGCATTAACCTACTTTGTTCAACTGTGTCACAGTTTTTTTTGTTTAATCAAAGCCAAGTTCTGCTGAACATAATCATCATGACCAAACTGGTACTAGTATGGATATGCAATCTACAGTACATGCTACCCTTTAAATTCGTTCTTACTGAGTAAAACTGATTGACTAGTTTTGAGATCAAGAAATTATACACTGTCTGACGGAATAACTGATTTCACAGCAATTAAAAGTGGCCCCAGAAATTAGAATTTATTGACCCTTGTAAATGAAAATTATCATTATTTTTTTTTATTGGACTGATTCAGTGTTTCTCAATGGCTGGCTCAACTGTCTCAGAAGCTGCTAGTTGTCTGACTGACTTGGTGGAATGTTTTAGTGACTCAGTGACTGACTGACAACTTACATGTACACAGCCAGTGTCTGAATGACTCAGGAACTATCAAACTGATTGATGTTATTGATGGATTGATAATGTGGTGTGCTCACCATTGCAAAGAAAGAATTTTTTTTTGCTGGATTGACCGTGTTTCTCAATAAATTATTGCTGGCTGCATGTAACTGCCTCAGAAGCTGTTAAATGTCTGACTCACTTGGTGAAATGCATGATTTATTGACTCAGTTGTTGACTGACATCAACTGACCTAGCAACTGTCTGAATTGAACTGATTGACATTACTGCTATACTGATTCTTTAGCTCAGTGGTTATTTATTATTTTTTGTTGGACTAGCTGTGGGTTTTGATGGGTGGCTGAATGCCTCAGACGCTGTTAATATTGTCTGACTGACTTGGTGGAATCATTAATGTCTCATTGGTTGACTGATAACTGACTTTAAGTGAGTATCTGAATGACTCAGGAATTTTCAGAGTTATTGACCTTATTGCTAGACTGATTATGTGGCTCTGTGGTTAAAAGACAAAATGAGTAGCTGCTTGTCTTTGTCAGTAACACTGTGGTTGACTGACCATCTGACTAAGTGACTATCTTTTAAATAGTGGTCACTCAGTAAAACTGTTATAAAAATCTCACTGACATGTTGTTGGATGGACCCATTGGCACAGTGGGAGACTAACTAGTGGACTTGGTGAGTGTTTGGCTGTGTCTGACTGGCATATTGCTAAAACAACTCTAACTTACACACAGTGACTGACCAACTCACTGAGTTGCTGTGTATCTGACTGGTGTAACACTAGACTGACTTACAGTGAATAACATGTACAGTATTGAATAACTCATTGCCTCAGCAGTAGCTGTGCGTTTGACTGATGTAGTACTGGACTAACTGACAGTGACTAACTTGTATTCATGGACTGGTTGCCCTAGCAGCAGCTGTGTGTCTGACTGATATAATGCTGGACTAACTGACAGTGACTTACATGTATTGATTGACTGGTTGCCTCAGCAGTAGCTGTGTGTTTGACTGATAATTTATATTACTGGACTGACAGTGATGTACATGTATTGATTGACTGGTTGCCTTAACAGCAGCTGTGTGTTTGACTGATGTAATACTGGACTAACAGACAGTGACTTACGAGGGCGGATCAGGAAGTTCTGTCACCAAGAAAAGTCCTAGGTTCTCCACGCAACAATGGTTCTTCATTCTTATTTTAATCTTTAGACCTCATTAACAGCTAATTGTTATGCAAATTTAGTGCCCATATAAAGCTTGTGTGGAATTTGCCAGGTCCTTTTATTTACATGCTGATTTGGTTATGACATGGAGCCTTCAAGGGAGTATATTAGTTTCTACATTTACACACGTTATAAATTAGGTTTCCGAGCAAGGCCTGTCCATGAAGAGCTTGCGATGGTTTATAGGGACCTTCCACCTTCTTTTCGCACAGTTGCCAGATGGATTCAGCATTTTAGTGGTGGCAGAGAGAGCGTTAAAGGTGAAGCACGTGCTGGGAGGCCACGGACGTCTGTGACCAACAGTTCTGTGGAGAGAGCCGAAGAATTAATAGTAGAAGACTCCAACTATAACACTCAGATTCTTAGCTTTGGGGCTTGGTGTAAGCTACGGAAGAGCACATGCTATCGTCCATGAGCAGCTTTGTCGGTCCAAGAGGTGCACAAGATGGTTCCCCCACCAGTTGACAACATAACAGAAAGAACAATGGGTGGCAATCTGTCGCAATTGGTTGCAAGAATTTGAGCCAAATGGCCCTAAGAGGTTTTTTAATGTTGTTACGGGTGACGAGTGTTGGATTTCCTTCACTATGAAAGATAAGCGCTTTAAGGTGTTGTGGCTGGATGAGATGAACCACGCCCGGAGGTCCTGAAAAAAGGTTTCCGTTCAAGAAAGAGAGTGTTCACCATTTTCTTCAATACTCAGGGGCCTGTTGTTGTCAACATAGTGCCCGACAATGCTACAATCACTACCACATATTACACAACTTCAGTTTTGCCACAAGTTCTTCTGCATATTTAGTCAACAGCACAGACTTGACGTCGGTCTCAAATCCAGTTGCATCACGACAATGCAGCTCCTCTTAAAGCTCGCATCACACAGACGTACCTCGATGACAATGGTATCTGTTTGTTGGAACATCCACCATACTCACCCGAATTGACTCCGTGCAATTACAGGCGCTTTCCAATATCAAGTCAGCCCTTGCTGGGAAGCCTTTTT